CTCTTCCTAAAAACAAATTAGGTAAATGTTCTGTAATAAGACAGTATTGGGGAGCTTGGGTAGGCCCATTCTAGGATCACTGTCTAAAAGGCATTTGCTAAACTGAATCCTGGAGTAGAATGCACTTCCTGCCTTACAACTGTGTTGTGCAGATCTGAAGATCTCTTTAGGGTGGAAGAAACCATTATCAAACTGTCAAATTCTCCTTTAAAGATTGTTCCTCATGCATCATTAGTGTTTTTGAAACTAGGGTTAAAGTGCTTTGCTGTGTTACATTTGTTGTTCAGGAAAAGTTTGTTTGGCAAATGAGAAATATTTTGATCATCTTCTGTAAAAGGGCAACCTCAGAATTTCTCATGCTTTACACCAAGGATAGAGGCACTCTTATCTTCAGATGTACTTTCCCTACAGCACATCTTCAAAACTAACTGAAGTATGCTTTCTGTTGTATATACTGAGCCTGTACACCCTGGAAATGGGAAGTGGTATAGTACAAAGAAAATACCATTGGCTTTCTCCATCAGCTCTCTCATTCTTCTTCTTCTTCTTCTTCTTCTTCAGATTTTTGTACGTAATTCTTAGAGGTCCTGACTTTTCAGATACTGAAGGTCATAATTCTGAAATGAGTAATCTCCATAGGGGAAAAGTTAGTGTCCATAATAGCCATTGCAAGGAGGAAAATGATTGAAGAAAATATTGCAGAAAACTGTAACCAGTCTTATGCTCATGCTTGACACAAATCTTCACTAGGTTTTCCCCAGAACTAAACATACTAAGTTTCTCAGTTCATAAAGTATAGACAAAGAATATTTTGGCTTATAAAAATGATGTGATTATATAACATTATAGAATTTCAATTTTTAATTTGTGTGCTTATGTAATATTTGACATTTCCTATCAATCGTCCAGAAATTTGCAAATTTTTAAAAGTTACTTAAACTTTTTCTAAAATAAAGACATTAGTCTCAAGAAGTGAATCAACACCAGATGACTGTTACTATTCAAAGGTTATATCCAGGTGGCAGTTAATTCTAATGCAAGCTAAATGAGAATTTTCTTCCAGTTCTTTGCTTAGATCCTGATCATACCAGAAGGCATGTCAGAAAAGTCTGAATGACCTTTTGTTTTACTTACAATGTTTTATTCACTACACATTATATTGAATTTCCAACATACCAATCCAACAAAACATAAATGTGCCGTTCATTAATTAGTTCTCATATGTGGTAATTAATTTTATGATACAATATCATTTTCAATTTTATAACTAAATTTTAACACCTTAAACATTTATTAATATAGGTTTTGAACATGGAAATATACATTAATAAAAAGATACATTAATCAAAATATATACAATATACATTAATAAAATATACATTAATGAAAAGTTGCTCATCTCATATTGTTTGTTGAATTAACAAAGTTGCTTTCCAATTCAGAATATAAATCATTACTATGTTACACTAATTCTTGCAGTTTTAAAGGACATTTCTCGCATTTCAATTCATGCACAAAGATGACTCCTGGGTGTAGCTTATTATTAGAATAACCTCCTTGTTCTTTCTATAATTCTGAAGGCTTATCTTTACATTCTAAAGGAATATTAAGATATTTCCCTTGGCATCACGTATTTAGTCTACTCATTTCAATATTTAGTGATAATTTTTTAATGAATAAATAAAATTACTGTGTATAGTTGTTAAACTAACACTGCATTCAAAGAAGCAAAAGAATATATATACACTGAAATTAATGAACATATAATTTACAATTCTTTGAAAGAATAGAGTGCTTCACACAGAATGTAAGGTGAGACCAGGATGCCACAAGACTTGGAACAAGTCTGGAGAGTAAAGTGTATGTCTCAGGTGACACTGTTAGGAAACCCATTAAAAATGGCTGCCAAGATAATATAGTGTTATTACTGCAATTAAATTATAATTTGTGTTATTAATATTTTTATACTTAGCAAAGCTACTATATCAGTATGTAGCAAGCCACATAAACTCATTTCAATATATTCTTGGAAACAGAGTACTCATAATGGTGCATATTAGATAAGTATGGTCCTTCCTAACATAATGATAAAATCCTAACAGACATGATACATGTGTAGGAATATATAACATGAGATTTATGACATTAATGGGTTATAAGAGAAATTTTTACCAATTTGCTTTGGTTATTAAATAATTTCACTTGATGTCCACAAACCGTCTTATGGAATTAAAAATGTACCTCACCAACCTGCCTAATCCCCCCTTTACATCCTTATTCCTCAGGGTGTAGATGAAGGGGTTGAGGGTAGGAGTCACCACCCCGTAGAAGAGCGCCATGAACTTGGGCTGGTCCCTGGAGATGGAGGAGGGGGGCTGAAGGTACATGCTGATGGCTGGACCATAAAATAGGAAAACCACAAGAAGGTGAGAGGAACATGTCCCAAAGGCCTTTTTTCTTCCCTCAGAAGATTTCATCTTAAATATGGCATGTCCAATACTAGCATAGGAAGCAAGAATTAAACACAAAGGAACAGCTAACATAAAGATGCATACCACAGAGAGTGCAAGCTCATTAGCCTCCTTTTCACCACAGGCGGTCTTGATCAGAACTGGAATCTCACAGACCAAGTGATCCAGTTCATTGATGCCACACAGTGGCAACTGTAGTGTAACAGTGGCCTCTGAGACAGCATAGGTAATCCCTGTCAGCCACACTATGGACACTAGTAGGAGGCAGATGCGCTGATTCATGATTAGGGTGTAATGCAGAGGCCTGCAGATGGCCACATAGCGGTCAAAGGACATAAGGGCCAAGAGCAGACACTCTGTGCCCCCCATTATATGAAAGAAATAGAGTTGAACTACACACCCTAGATATCCAATAGTCTTAGAACCTCCCAGGTTAAAGAGCATCTGAGGGACATTGCTTGTGGTGTAACACATGTCCAGAAAGGACAGGTTGGTGAGGAAGAAGTACATGGGGCTGTGGAGATGAGGGTCTAACTTTGATACCAGGATGATGGCGATGTTTCCCATCATGGCTATGGGGTATGTGATCAGAAGAATAATGAACAGAGGGAGCTCTAGCCAAGGTCGGTCAGCAAAGCCCAGTAGAATGAACTCCTCAGGGTGGCTTGTATTAATTACTGCCATTGTCTTCAATTGCTTCATCTATGGTAGGGAAGTACCAAGAAACCTGCCATTAAGGGGAATGAAGAAACATTGTCATGCATTGATATGTATGCATAGAACACAGGTTGAAATAAAGGATTGGCTCTAATGGTCTAATTTCCCTACATGACACTAAGAGGTACAGGTAGTTATCATAAACAAATAACACAACCATTCTGAAACTGATTTTCGACTTCTGTGTAATAAAGCTGATCTACATTGTCAACTGCAGGTGACTTCTGTCAGGAATATTCCAACTTTACTCAGAGATATTCAGATCTCAAATTTAGATTGTATTTTCGGGACATATTTATCTGTTTATCAGCTAAAAATTACATTTAAGTATAACAAAATTAGTGTTTATAGTGGAAGCAGTAATTTGAGGATAAAAATTCATTTTTCTATGTTCATTTCCTTTATTAATGAAGTATGTTTCATAAAAACCATAATCTTCTGTACAGTGAGCAATGGTGAGATATAAAATCAACATTTCACTGAGAAAATTCTAAGTTACACTTGTAGTCAGTGAGTAGTTCTATGGTACCAGATTACACCTTTATGGTTACACAGCATGGCTTCACATTCTCTATTTCATTAAATCTTCAAAGCCACACTGTGAGGGGCCATACAACGGTATTCAGATTGGTTGTGAATAATGCCTTTTAATTTTACATTATCCTAGGTCAGATGTTTATCACAATTAATAATAATATTTATATAATCATAAAATACTTGCAAAAGTACTAAATGACCTAGGTTGCCAATAACTCCCATCAGCTTTTTTAAAAATCTATTTAATCATTTAGTACCCATCCACAAACACTGTGACACAAAATATTTTGTATCCATATTTTAGGGTGGTGTAAATTATTCATTTCCATAATCAGTTAGTTGGTAAAGATAATGTAAGATCAAGAAACTATCAGGGGTATAAATGAGGTAAGGAGATATTAGACTATGAATTCTGAGTTTCAAGATTATAAAGAAAGCATCTGTACTCTAAGGACATTATCTTAATGAAAATGACCTGTATACATTTTTTGACCTGGACATTATTCAAGATATTATACAATTATAGTGAATGTGAAACTGTAGTTTCACCTATATAATTTTTTCAGGTGGAATTCTGTGTTGTAGATGAGATTTGAAATAGAGGGTTGATATTAACTAATTTTGTTATAAAGTAAAACATTACCTATTCGCTTAACACTTTCATAATTTTCTACTCTGGATCATCCATCAATGTTGAAACAGTAATTTTAGATTTGATTCTTCTTGATTTATTCATCTATTAGTTTTATCTAACTCTGATAACAGTACTCACACCAGTATGGGATCATCTGTCATCTTTTCATATAATTCACTTTATCTAGGCTATTCTGCTTGTGAGTGGTGGTCCCCAGAGCTCTTTCTTCCCTGCGGTATTTCTCTAGATGTCAAGGGATTGGCTTTTGTTGTGGATTTAAGCTTTATTAATCTATCCTTAGATGACTCATATTCTGAACATTATTTTTATAGATTTGCATTAATTTTAGCTCTTGACTCCATAACTACGAGATTTTCTATTTCTAGTGATTCTTCCATCTCTATTTTGCTACACAGCAGCCTATTTATTCATGAATGTTTAAAATCACTTTAACACATTGCCAGACCATTGAATACTCCTTTGTATCTTTATTCACATTTTATTCTAGCATATTTTACAATTCATTTTAATTGCACACAGTATTTTACTTATGTTTATAGTACTTTAAAACTGTATAGGCAATAAAATACCATGAGAAAAAATAAAATATCTGAGACCATAGCATCTGGATGAAATATACGGTCAAGTGAATCCAATGAATTTTGTCCATACGCTTAAAAGTTGCATATAACACAGATATCCTTCTACATTCAGGTATTTAAAATTTCTGGAGAATAGAATCTATTGAGATTTAAAGTTTTTAAGGTTAATCTGAGAGGTGGCGAGATTAATTTAGAAGACAAACTTAGTTGTTCCCAGAGCCACTGAACTAGGTATTTCCAGAATTGGTAAAAGGCTTCCTGCAAGTGCTCTCTGGCTTTCCTGTGCATGACTCATCCACATCCACGACCTACACACATCCCAACCTTCCCTGAGAATGAATGCCTTTGAAAAAAAGTGTCCTTTTACTCACCTTGCTTGGATAAAAAAAAAAATTCTTCAATAAAGAAGCATTACAGAAGAGTTTTCTAGCTTCCTGGAAAGGAGTGAAAAACCGTAGCACATAGATAAGTATTTGAGAGGTAGCTTCAAGGTTTTCCTTTTTCAATTGACATAGGTGCCAGGAGACTGAAGGTCAGGAAGGCACTGTAAATTCCCAAACATTCTCTGAGGTGCCATTTGTGTTAACTCCAGGGCATTTTCTTCACATAGGCTGTTGTGTGCCCTTCTCCCAGGTGAATCACCAGGGAAGGTTCCTTGGGATGGAGATCCCCATGGACATGCCTCTTACACATAATTGTTTATCTCCAGAACTAGATGAGGAGCAAGCTGCTCTGCTGTTAGATGTGCTTTGAAGCAACCTGGTTCAATTTCCCAACACATAGGAAAATATTTTAAAACAGAGTACAGTCAAAGATGAGCAGTTTTAGGTAAATAATTCTAGAAAATTTAAATGAGATTTTTTGCATGAATATGTTCTTAGAATATCTCACATACATGAATTACCTCCATTCATAACAATGAAAGGGTATGAAATAAATTGAATAGAAAAGTTTTGCATGAAAATATGACCTATCCAATAAAATGGAGTTAAGTGATACTTAAAGTATCCAAAAATTAAATATCTTTATAACAGAAAGATAAAAGAATGTTCAGTCTCTCAACCTCTTACCATTCACATCGCATCACTGACTAATCTGGGTCCTTGATTTAGTGGTAGTAGAAATTAACACTAAAACATGAATTTACTGGAAAAGCTTCAATTGGAAAGTGTATTAGTTCTTTTTCTGTCACTGAGAAAAAATAATTGATACTTGCAATTTAAAAAAAGGAGTGGTTTATTTTAGTCCACAGTTTCACATGTTTCAGTCCATGTTTAGCTGGTTCCAAGGAAGAAACAGTCTAGTGGGAGGGCATGTTGGAAGAAAACTGCTTATTGCCTTTGGCCTGGTAGTCAGGAAGCAAGGGAAGAAAGGAAGAATGAGTTAGGGACAAGCTCATACCCTTCCAGGTCATAACCCTGTGACCCACCTCCTCCAACAAGTCCCCAACTCCCAAGAGCCCACCCAGCTATAAACTCATCAGTGGACAAACCTACTGGTGAGTAGAGTGGCCCATGAGCCAATCATCTTCCAAAAACTGCAGATATGAACACAGGATAATACTGGAGAGGTGGTTTGGATCTAAACCATACCAAAAAGTGAGAGAAGGTGGGAAGACCCCAGCTTCAGTAGCTGAAGAGAACACATGCTGACTCAGGGATTCTGACTACCCACAAATTTGTGACTACCCACAGATTTATGACTACCCACAAATGCAGTAGCCCAACATTTCAGGATTCAGTCCTGTAAGCTGGGACCCACTTGTATTACCTCAGTCATGTATTTGCAACTCAGGTGGAATATTTGTGATTGAAGGTGAATTTGGGTCCCATAGGAGGAATCATCATGGCCTCAAGGGCAATCCCAGTCATGTGAGGCTCTGCTTGGAATCCGAGTTGACCACTCTTTAGGGTAATGGAGATGCTGGACATAGCTGAATGTCCCTGTAAATCTCTTATCATGTTGTCTTCCTTCTTGAAGGTAGTGACATAGGGTAGGTAAATTTAATGCTAATAAACCTTGTTTTATCAACTTTTAGATCTATACCCTAAGTGACTAATATGCCTCTGTGCAGAGTTGAGAAGGATTTGACTGAGAGTTTTACAAAATGAAGGTCAAGTGTGCTCTACATTTAATTACAGTTTGGGCACTTGTATTCCCAAGGTAAGAGTCATGGGTTTTAGATAACACTGCTTTTGGGCTGGGGATTTAGCTCAGCGGCAAAAACGCCTGCCTGGCAAGCGCAAGGTCATGAGTTTGGTTCCCGGTACCGGAGAAAAAGCCAAAAAAAAAAAAAAAACCCCAAAAAACAAAAATAGATAACACTGCTTTTAACTCTCACTGTCTCAGAAAAGAGTAAATTATGTTCCTGATGAGTAACAGGCTAAGGGCCTAAGTGTATGTTCTCTGTCCACATGCTTGTCTCTGACTGTGTTGTGACTACATCACCCACACACTACATAATACTAGTCAAATGTAAGGAAAATATTTTAAATTATGTACACTATCCATAAGTATATTGTTTTGAAAAATTCAAATATATCAAACAAGAAGAACAGGTAGAAATATTTCCCTCTGATACTGCATTTCCTTGAACCATAATTCCTGTCCTCTATCTACAAATAACTACCTGTATCATTTTCTTTGATAAATATATTTTTGGGCTTTTCTACTTTACTCTTTCTGTTCTGGATTCACTTGCTACACCACCATGTACATGATTACTGTGTATTATGCCTACAGGCTCAATGCCCTGTAATCCTGATCTTGTTTCAGGTGGAGTTTGTCTTAGTGTCACCAGCTGAGACTCTAAAGTACAGTAGACACTCAGGGAGCAATGGACCTGTATGTATTCCCTATGCTGGAATACACTGACCACCTGTGGTGCTCATAAGTCCTGGAGGGTGCCATGTGCAGACAGACTACCTGGACCTCATTTCCTGTATGAATTCCTCCCTTTGCTACTTCAGGCCTTTGGTTGGTACAAGGCTCCCCACTAATCTACACATCATGCACATGTAGAAGTAGCTTATTAGCATTCTTAAATCCCTACCTTGCCTTGTGATTACCTCCCTTGCTAAACTTCCTCCAGATCTGTCAGTCACAGTGTGCTACTTTCTGCTAGGAGTGTTCCTGATGTAACTATCAGTAGAAACAAACCAACATCATTTCTTGCTTTAAGGATTTTGAATGAG